GGGGCTGCTGCTGTTGTCGATAATCCCTTCCTCTTCAATCCATCATCTGCAAAATAAACACAGACCACCCCCAGCTGCGTCTGACTTAGAGGGGTGAGGGCCTGTTAACCTGCTGCACACAGGCCACTGGCTTGGGCTGCCGATTTCCCGCCTCTCTGTTTAGATTATTTCCTCGGAGGCGTGTGACTCTCCTGTGTCACTGATAAGAGCGTGGTAGGGTGGTGGCAAGAGGGTCAAACCACAACGGGTGTAAAAACTCAGGAAAATATTGGAAAATATTTTTATTCCCTGGAAAAAGTAGTTTCCCCCAAAACTTCTTCGCCATGGCACAAGGCTATTACACTGATAGAAATTCTTCTCCCCTCTCGACAGCCTGGCCCTGAGTACGCGAGGGGCCAGAGTCTTAGCCACATCTCAAGCTAATTTACAAAGATCCTGAATTATTCTCTTATCTTGGGCTTTAAAGGTTGTAAGGTTGATTAACAAGGCCCTGTCCTGTTTATCAGTTTGGGACTGGGTTTGGAAAATAGCCTGCGATAAGTGCACAGACCATTAAACATTCTATTTCCCCTAATATTTGTTGGCAACCATCTGCTTAACTGATCTCCCTTCACTTTAATTAAAAGGGATTCTCGTCTTGTTGGGGTCATTATGTGCTGGCGGACGCCAGGAGAGGGGTTTGTGATGAGTTCAGCGTTCCCACTGTCCCTGGGTTGCCAGAGGGCTTTTTTCATCCTCCCTTCCACCCTCTTCTCACTTAACCCCTTCCTGTCGTGCTGTACTTCCACCTTTTAAGAAGTTGACTAAGGAGTAAGTCCAACAATTCTAGAAGAGATACAGTATGTGGTGGTGAAAACTTTTCTCTTCACTAGGGAAGCACATAGATATTCACACCATCTCCCTCAGTGCTGAGGCATGAGACTCCCCCCCGTAATGGTTTGATTTGCCCAACACTAGTTGGATCGATGCGGCTGTTTACAGTTTCTCCCTCTCTCATCCCTTTTGTCTTTTTTTTAATTTAGTGTTCCCAAACCATGGACAGGGGTCTGAGTCTGTCTGCTGTGCTTGCATCTTCGCCCTCCTCCCCACTCTCCATCACTGTCCATTGATGTTTTACTCCTCTCTTTCTTTTCTCCTCTTCCTCTCTCCTTCCTTGGTTGGTCTTGGAAAAAGACCTGCATGCCTCCACACTTCTGGACAAGACTGATGGCTCGTCAATAGCATTAGCCAGCATTGCAGGCCTCACTGGTGTAGAACCAAATCAATAAGGCCCAGTAAAAAGTCTTATATGTGTACATGGTCCATTCCAGCCAAGGCTCATGTTACCACCGATGAGTTTTTATAAGAATCCAGGAGTCACCATCTGCCTATTTTACTCCTTTTAATTCCACATTTTCTCAGCAAATCACTAGCATTAATAAGTGCCTCTGCTCACAGTAATCCACTCTCTTTTAGTATAATTATGCATTGCACCCTTCAAAAAATTTGAAAAAGGGGTCTCTGTTCATTGTTAACTGGGTTAAAGCAGTGACATATAAAATCTTTTCCGCTCCTTCCCTCTAAATTCTGGTAATTTACCTTCTAATTATAGTGTGCAATTACAATCAATTAGACCACATCGAAGATGCAGCAACTGGGTGATGAGTGGGTATATATGTGTGTGAGTAGATTTAAAAAAAATAAAGTATATTTTAAAATTTATGGAAGACAGAAAAAAATCTGACAATCACATTTAAAGCAGCTCTAACTAAAGGGCACTGCACACAGGCAGCATGTAATGCCTGCATCCATTATTTTTAATGAAAGCCCACACACCAGTGGTGAACTGATGCGCGTCAATGCTTCAGGATACTCTGTTGTCCTATTTTCTTTGTGTTGACTTGCATCAAAAGCATATAATACTTAAGTACTCACCCATTTTGGTAGTCCCTCACTGAATTCGTGCCACTCCCGGGGTGTGTTACGGGAGCCATTAACGTTTGCCCTCTACCATTTGACCATTAGAGAGAGAGAGAGAGAGAGAGAGAGAGAGAGAGAGAGAGAGAACAAAAACAAACTAAAGCAGTAACCCCTCCTCAAGCCACAACTGCGTGAAGTTTTAGTCTTTTGGATGTTTTAATGCTGTCTGACATACCAAACCAATGTTGGGTTTGCATCATTCTTTTCCGCAGTCTTTCTGTACTACAGAGCACGGCCTCTTGGGTCGCTCTGATCCTGAGTTGTACCTACACAGGGAACCTTCATGGTCCATCTTTAAAATGAGCCATACTGGTTTGAAAAATACGTCTTATAACCTCGGATCAGCAGGGACGTGGAAGAAGTGCAATGTGGATTTTAACAGCAGTGGCCACAGAGGGCAAAAATAAACACAAGGCCTGAAGGTAGAAGTGTGGGGTGGGGGGGTTAGTACAGCAGGGAGAAAACACTTCTAGACAACTTTTTACTTGATTTACCCAAATTTGTGCTAAATCTTGGTTAATGCAGCTTTAAGAATTTTGAGCGTATACATCTCCCCTAGAGAATGATTTTTTATCTCTATGACTTGCACATACTGACTGATCTGTCTTCACTGACAGCTTCTTATGGAAACATGCTATCTTCTTGAGCCTTGAGAGATTCACACGCTGAGGTGTTGCAGAGTACTGTCTGGTTGATATTACTGTAGATCATTCTTCTGTCACTGACTGGTATAGGTCGTTGAAATAGCTTACAGATTCAAAAAGGTTTTTCTAAAATTGAACCATATTTGTGTCTTTGGCCTGTAGTTATCTCTGGTGGCAGATAGCCCTTCCTCACCTTGACACTTTCATAATGGGTACAGCAGATACAGTAATTCTTCCCAGCTAAACTTGCAGGTCAGTTTTCTTTCTCTCTTCCTTTTTGTGGGTTCTTTGTTTCTCAATTGCATTAAAAATTCTAATTTGCATAAAAAAATACTTAGACTATGGTAATTAAACACTGAAATAATATATTATTATTGTATTATACTATTGCTAGGGCTTCAGTAGCTAAGGGCATGACAGTAGCTGATTTTAGCCGCTCCAAGTGGTTCTGTCTGTGCAGGATTCTCAGGAAAATAATTCCATAATAACAAAGTAAATATTAAATGAATTACATATGTAAATAGTGTGTGTTGAGGACGCACACTTACAGTTTGCTTCCTTCCACGGTGAAACAAGTCTGAGTCTGCTGAACTACAGTGTAGACACTTGCAGCTGAAATGCTTTTCAGGCATTATTGACTTCAATTTAAATTTATAAAATAACCTTTGGAACATGTAGCCATGCCTCAGTGTTGTGTGTTTCACTGCTGCTTGTGGCTGGAAATGAGAACCGTGTCCTATTTATTTGCCCTACATACTGTGTTTGCCAGTAAATATGAAGGTGAATGCAAAGTACTGTAGTGATTTGTCTTTTTCTGTGAAGGACTTTCTGCACAGGTTTGCAGTGCTTCAAAAACCAGTCTCATACTACACCAAGCAAATTCCAATTTGCTTAGCAGCTTTTGAAGCGTATTCCTTAAACATAACACTGGAACTCTGTTTAAAAAAGATGCAGCACGCCTTTCACAGATGCAAACACTTCTGTGGACTAATTGTGGCAAATTAATTACTAATCCTGTAGCTCTCGTAAGGTCAGACAGGCAGAACAGTGGATGGACTGATGGGCATCCATTCAACTTCTCCACCCTTTCCAGTTAAGACACAATAAGGTTCACTTTGGATGACTGTCTCCCTCTCTCTGTTTGTCTGTATGTCTTCTCCCATAGCAAAGAGCTCTGCCTCTTAAAGGTCAGCAGAGGGCCATTGTATTTGTCAGGCAAACGATGGCCTGCCATCAGAAACATGCCCCCACCGCCCCTGGTGGGAGACTGTCACCAAGGAAGGGAGTGTGTGTGTGTGTGTGTGCGTGTGTGCATGTTTTGGACAGGTGGCTGATGATAGCCTTCAGGATCGAGGGAGTATCTCTTACTAACCCTGCATATAATCAATACCATCCAGTGCTGTTATTCTGAAACGTGTGTGTGCGTGTGCGTGCTGTGCAGTTATCAACAATGACGGGGATCAAGGAAACTGGTGGGTGACAAAGAGGAATGGTGTCTAATTCAAGGTCAGTGAGACCTGTGTCACTCCTTCTCTTTCACAGAGGGGAGGGAGGAGGCATTATGTTCCTGTTGGTTACCAGAGCAAACATGACATCCCTCCTGGAGCTCGTATCAATTTGTAAATTGACCCCCAGTCACTGTGAGTAATGTCAGCTCAGGTCACTTTTGCAAAATGACCCTGCATTTGTCTTGTTGCCATTAGTTTCTGTCTTCGGTGTTGCTCCATTGCTAAACAAACTTTTCTTTAAAGGTTGTTATCATTCATTGATGTTGCTACACATAATTACATGTGGAGTCAACACACAGAACTCTCATAGAGGAATGAAAAAGTGGTTTCATTTCAAAAATAATTTCTGGTGTTCAATATATTATGTGTTTGTTTTAGTAAAAAAAGATGCCTATTTAATACATTTAATAATCCCCCCCAAACATAGTGTTTCATGAGTGCATAGAATTTAATTTCATCATATGATCAGACAAAAGTACTGTCATCTTTCTAATTTACTACAACCAGCAGTACCTTCTCCTCATGCCAGTACATCTTTTTAATAACTCTGTTAATCTAATCGTCCACTAATTGGTCAAGATAGCCTTTTCCCTAATGATTTTTATCGTAGAGTAATTAAAGAGCTGAATAAAACCTGCTGCAATCACAGTGTCTTGTTAAAATAGCTTGATGGACACGTTGTTTCGGGGCTCTGTATTTTTTTTTCTACATTATAAAAAAAACGTGTCTATCAAGCTGCTGTACTTCATTTGAATAGCATTTCAAAATAATCTGTGATTATTATTAAGTGCAGGTTTGTCACATCTGAATAAAATGCGATGACAAAATGCCAGTGACTGATAAATCTTTAATATAAAAATTGTACAAGAATTCTGATACAAATTACAAGAGGTATTTGGACAAAATATGAATAAAATTCCATTTACATCCCAAAACCCTTATGCATTTTATGCAAAATCATAGACAGTTATGATACAGAAACAAATTCAAGAAAGGCAAAAAGAAAGAAAGGGACAAAAGAACAAGAGTCTTTTAAAAAGAGGACCACTTTTTACCTCCTGTCTGCAAAAGGGAAACACCTGTTTAGGTAACATACAGTATTCATGAGGCTTCCAAATCACCATTTTGACACCAAAGTAATACAAGCTCCTCAGCTTTGTTTGTTCTTTGCAGTCCGACTATGTAGCCATGCAACGCTGTCGAGAGCCGGTGCCGCAACACAGACATTTTAAGACACAAATGCAGTGAATACACAAAACACAAGTCAAAACAAAAATCTAAATTCACCAGGTCTTCAAGCTTATTTATACTTTAAGACTGTAAAATATGGTTGGCACAATGGAAAACATTTTATGAATTTACAGTATGTTTTCAGGATCATTGATATTTCACAGGTTCCAGTTCAAATTAATGAGGGTACTTTTAGAACATGATGGATGACACTGAAGCATCTATACAAACACAAGGATTTTTTATCTATCTGCATATTTCTTATGATGTCCCATCAAGCATTTCAATCCCACTTTGTTCCATGAGCTACATTACCTGGACAGTGTGCATGCAGTGTCACCTCCCATTCTCTCCACTTATGCTCATTCACTCACTCAGTGACATGAACAAAATGGACAGTGATTTACAGGTCAGCCAGTTCAGCCGTTTGCCACTTCTTTCTCCCTCTGTGCTCCATGTAGAATTACAGAATAATTGATGCCTGATGCAGTCTAATCAAATATTAAAGATTCAGTCGAGTGGTCTGGCACAGTGAGGTGCTCTAAGAGACGTGCTCCTGCAGTGTCACACCTCGGGCGCTACAGTAGGTAGTAGACTGCACCTGGGCCCACGTGGTTGGAAAAATAAGAGAAATAAAGATTGAATTGGTGCTTCTTTATCAAAGGATAACAGAGCGTAGGGGATACTGGTGGAAAGGGGTGACCTGCTCTCTAGCAGGCAATCAACAAGAAGCTGGCGAGGCGTCCTGGTGAGGCCTGGCCCTGCTGATATTTTTTTCTCCCCAGCACTAAGTGGCTGCCGCAAGGCTCCAGCCAGACCTCTTCCTAAGCCCAGTTCCTTGCCTCCATCTGTCCCTTCTCTCTCTCTCTAGCCGTTTATACAAGGCGTGAATTTTTCACCAGTTTCCCCCCTCGTTAAGGTACAGTGCCAGCATTGTGGGGGGTGGGGGAGTCAACGTTAACCCTCCAAAATGCCACCGGAGAGGAAGTATTTTTGCCAAGATGCGTTCACCTCGCCTCCTGTATAAATGGAATGAGGGTTGTGGGCAGAGGGGTCTGAAGTTTTGAAGCAGTGTTGATCCCGTGACTGCAGGATAAGGGGTATACTGGTGGATGGATGAATGTTTTTGTGACAAGCTGCCGGTGGATTTAAATTTGTTCACAAAAAACTGAATTCGTGACCATAATCATTAATGCATTGTACATTATGCACAACAACTTTGAGTCCGAATCATGTTGTAAATGTTGTGTCCAAGCAAAAGCACATTCCTACTCTGTTCATCTGCCACTGGTGATATGGTGGCAGCAACGTTACCAGTATGCTTTGTGTTTCCGATGCATGGTTATAGAGTGCCATAGGGATGATGATTTTTTTGAAGGCCAACCTGGAAATTGGCATCACCCTGGTTCCCTCAACATTTTTTGAAGCCCAAATACGATCACCAGAAGTAAAAAGCTGTTAGGCTATAAACAAACTACACCACAGTCTCATAGCTTCAGCGTCCCCACCACGACTTTCAACTTGTAATGTGATTTATAGCACTTAAGTATCTCTTCTACAAAATCCTTTCCTCTTAGCGTGACCTGATCTAGCTACTGGTTATTGCTGTATCAGTTAGTTAGAATAGGTTGCAAGTGCATGAGTTTAAAATTAACAAGTCTGTAAAGGTGGACTAGTGAGTAGATGAGTCTCCATGATGATGTGTAAAAGTCCAGACAGCCTCTATTTTCGTTTGGACACTTGTTAGCAACCACCTTTTTAAGACATGTCAAAGTATTGAAATCATGAGTGGGATATTTACTATTGTATTTTATTTCATAGAACAAAATTGCAGGCATCTAACACAAAACCCATTCAAAAAACCCACAAACTTCAGGGTGAGGTGCCAGTTCAGTTCCAGGTTTTAGGACTCATTACTGTGATACTCTGTAGTTTAGGCTGTCACATTAAACGTCATACCTCTAATACAAGGTTTTCGGTCTCTGTGTAAAAAGAACACAGGAGTTATAGTTTGCCGGCATTACTGGGTTTAGTGTAAAAGGGGCTTAAATCAAAATAGCCACATTGAAGAAGGGTCAAAGCGCCTGCACTTTGTTGCAACCGCTCTATAAAAAGGGCCTTTTCTCTCACCGTCCATCTTTGCTTATGCTGGAGTCGGTTGCATGTTTTCTCAGCTCTGTTTCCAGCCTCCTCCAGCTCCTAGCTCAGCTGGCAGGACTCAACAGGAGCCCATACGCAGTGGGAGAAGGGTGTTGAAAGAAAATATCATCTGTGCTACTCGGTTGTCTGTGCGGCGCACACAAGTACCTACATGTAGATAGAGAGGCAATGCACTGCGGCTGCCGAATGAGACAACAAAGAACGGGACTTAAGGAATGTGTAAAGTCTGAAAACGTTGATTTTCTCAACTCAAGAAGGGCAACAGCACATTTATATGAAGATAACCTTTGATATGTTAGGTGCATACAGCTCTCTTAATTCTAGAGAGTTCAGTTCCATTTGTGAGGTTACCAGCCTTGTTAATACATTTTCTTCGTTTAATCACTGTCCTCTTAGGTAAATGTCTCATCATTAGCTGTTTAACATGCTGAAATATTTAAAGTGAAATAATTTGTGAACTTTGCCTCACTCAGTACTAGCTCGCACCATTTTCCATAATCGAATCTTAGCTTTCTAAATAGGGGCAGATGCTGTAATGTTGATGCAAGATGGAGTGTTTCATTTCCTGTGGTGAGAATACTCTGTTTTTCTCTGCTCCTGTCTCCTCCAGTGCTAGAGGTTAACAAGTCATCTAGTTCCTGTCATCCTTCTGGCCATTAAGTAGAGTGTGTGCCACTCTCCTCTGTGTGCATGTGTGTGTTTATATGGTTGTGTGTTAGAGAGACTGCTGTCAGCGGGGTTCCTGGAGTGGCACTTTTTTATTTCTGCCAGAGTGAGGTCTGAAGGAATTGAATGAGTGAATGAGGCAGCAAGCGCCTCAGTGAAACTCACTCCTGGGAGAAGGCAGGGGTTCCTGTACTCAATATTCCCTTCACTTGGGATAAACAGGCAATTACCCATCCCTTCTTCCTATGCCACGGCCGTCTGGTGAACTTAAGCATACACTATTAGTGTGTGTCCCTGTAGGACCTGCGCTGTGGGGTGTAGAGGTGGTAAGTGAGTGGCGGGTTGAAGAAATGGGTAAGGCGGTTGTTAAATGACTCTCGTCTGACAGTCATAAAGAAAAACAGAATGAGAGAAAGGAGCTGAATTGAATTGAATTACCAGTGAACCCGAATAAGAATAAGCACACATTGAAATTGGACGGATGAATTGAATTCAGCTAAATTGAACGAGTCAAATTGAATTGTTCAGAGCACACGCTCTCTTTTTCTCTTTCTGTCTGTGTCACAGTCTTGTCAGCAACATTGGTGTCAGGCAGTGTAACGAAGTGACAAGTGAATTATTAGACAGAAGGAGCTGGAAAGGCAGGGACGCCTCCAGGTAATGGAGAAGCAGCACATTTTTAATGATCCTTGCTGTCATCCTTTCCTCCCTAGTCAGCCCTCCACCTCCGCAACCTTTCCATCAGCCTCAGCTGTCTGTCTCACTGTCTTTATCTCAGAGAAGAGAGGACTGAAAACTGCATGTGTCATATACATGGAGTCTTAAAAAAAGACATGAAATATTTCCCTAGAATAGGTCATGTCTATATTGCAAAATGGCTTAAGTATGAAACAAATGGAACTCAGCACTGTTATGGTTGTAAGATGTTGTGAATACTGTACAGTACACCACATAGCACTGCATATTTTTCCCTCTGTGTGTAGCACCAGTCAATAAGAGAAGATCTCCTTGTATAGTAACATATGGCATTGCTAATACATCCAGAAACAAGTCAAACTGAGGAACAATCTCTATTTTTCGTTTTGTTTTTTTTACAAAAAATATTCTTAAGCTGGACAGAAACATCTCCATGAAGATAGATCACCCACCAATAAATACCCCTACCCCCTGGCTACTCTGCCTAGTAACTGGAAATATTTGTACCGTAAGACAGTCATGGACATGTAAAAATGGCTGCAACCAACAGCCAGGAAAATGGCAACATTTTTTTATAGAGCACATTTGTAACTGACACTCAGCAATGGAGAGCGATACTGAAAATATCATAGCAAAAGATTTAAGACTCAAGTGCATGATGTTAATTCAATGGGGCATGGTTTAAGCACAGTGTCACACAGAAAGAGCTTTTCTTAACACTTTTGTTTTGGTCACAGTTGAAGAACTATTCCGATCATTTTTTTCTCCAGTTTCATACCTATGGGACAGTCATGCTTCATTAAGACGCCTTATGGGAGAACAAACGAGTTATTGCTTTGATAACTTTGACCAATTCAAAGTAATGTCGGACCCTAGTAAACAGCTGGTAATCGTACACAAGACTTAATGTTTAACTGATTTGTGTTTGTAAAACAGCAGTTTATATTCAGTCACACCTGATTTGTGCTGAAACAAGACACTGGAGACACTTTCTCAATATGTTTTTTTTTTTGAGAGAGAGAGGGGGGAAGTATCTCAGATTTTCTTGAGGGATGTTTTCTGTTTTGAAACTTTTTTGAAACTGTGCACGTGCAAAAAGAAACTGGCACAAGTATGTTAAAAGTACTGTCATTTCCTTTGACACTTCTAGCTATCAATAACCCCAAACAACATCTAAACTCACCATTGCAAAAGACCTCATTATAATATTACACATCCCCTTGAAGTGCAAAAACCGAATTGGCATACTAAAGCTCATAAACATAACAGACAAAAAAAAAAAATCAATAGAAATACAGAGAATGTTATCAGTGTAGGAGCCTAAAAAGCATGCCGGCAACCTCTGAATATCTAACAAGTAGATTAAAACAAGTCACATGGTGTTCTTTTTTCCCCTAAGACTCAGTTTAAAACGTGTCTTTGAAGCTAACATAAATGAGCCAAGCTAGTGAGATGCTACCTCTTTCTTGCCTATATCTGGAAGTATTGTACTGGACTGTAACATAAAACCATAAAAAAGAGAAAAAAAGCAAACAGCCATCAACACAACTCTTACACCGAAAGCCTCTTGGAACATTATTTACAAATGAAGCTGTCATGCTTTTGTAAGGGGGTTCATTTAAAAGCAATCATTGCACAAATACAACAAGAAGATTTTCTTTTTTTCCCCAATACTATCATTTCTGCAGGCAAAGTTACAAATAAGAGTTTGAATAGATTCTTTAGAGACAGACATAAAAACGAACTGGGGAGAAGGTTGAAAGGAAATGGAGGGCCTTATATAAAAAAAACAACTGGAGTTGTGTTATAAAGCAAACTCCATGCTCAATCATGTCATCCTGTTCTTCCAAAGAAAGAAAAGTTAAATGTCACAATAATAAACAGTTTTTAGAGTCAATGAATTTTACAGAGGGACACAGAAACATCTTGTAGTGACTTACAGAGGATGGGCAGGAGGCACACAAGCATTTAGCTTGCATTTGATGGCCCTGGGCTGGGGTTAAAAGCTAATTTGAGGAGGAATAAGGGTGAGGAATGAAGGGAGGAGTGAGCAGACTGACAGGAGGGTAAAGTAGCAAGTCGGTATTCAGTCTATTGTAACAAAGGGCATGTTTTTATGGAGGTTGGGGTTCTGAGAGTGTCGGTTACGGCTGCGCACAGAGCTGAATACCATGTTGCAACTAGGAATTTTGCATTTGTGCATCTCACGCAGGTGCACAGTCTTGTAGTGCACACGCAGGGTCCCTTTGTTGCTGTACATTTTGCGGCAGATGCTGCAGAGAATTCCATTGCTGCCACCGTTACTGCCCCCGGTGGACGAAAGGAGGAATGGTGAGGAGTAAGAATCCAACCCCTCACCATGTCCTTCTCCTCTTAGTTCTCCAGTCTCATCCCGATGGCCCCGTTGAGCTCGCCCCTCGACACGTTGGGAGCAGTCCTCCCCATCACTGTTGCCCTCCTCCTCATCCTCTTGTCCCTCCTCCTCCTCCAGGTCATCCAATAGGATGCCTTCATCGCTGACCTCATCTGACTCGTGTGAGGAGTGGACACTGCTGCTGGATTGAACACTGGATGTGGTACTCAGGTCCAACACCATATAGTCTTCTGGTTGACTCCGAGAGAAGCCGTTGATGTAGTGATTTTTAAGGTCTTGGTTGAAAGGGTGGTGGGGATACTCATGGCTCATGGGGGATTGAGCATCGTGGTTCAGACCGGTGGGCCCGAGGCTGGCGCCTCCAATGCCCATTCCAGCGATAGGGTCCAAGCCCATGTGGTGCCCAGCATAGATCTTGGCCAGTAACTCGGCTCGCAGGTCCTTGGGCAGTGGCATGAGTTGGGGGTCCAGGACAATGTCGTCCAGCTCTTTGGTCAGCAGTTTCCGGTGCAGGTTGATGTTGGAGCTGTGCCTA